TTAAGACTTTTCTCTTTCTCTTCAGTATTCTGTAGTTTCACCACAATGTGTTTATAAGCTCAGGACTCTTCAACCTGAAGACTGTGTCTTTCTTCTATTTTGAAAAATTCTCAACCATTATCTATTACATTTGCCTCATTCTCTCATTCTCTCTCTTTCAGAAACTCTTATTACATACACACACATATGTACATATGTGTATATATATATGTATATATATGAATATATATATAGGCCATATATATGAATATATCTCTCCCTCATGTTTTTAAATTATTCTTTCATATTTTCTATTTCATCACTTTCCCCTTTCCTCCCATATTTCAAATGGTTTCATTAACTCTATCTTCCAAGTCACTAATTCTCTTTTCAGCAGGCTCTAGTCTACTGTTTAATGCATCATTGAGTTTTTAATTTCAGTGGTATGTCTTTCATTTCTTAATGTTTTATCTTTCGCCCTGAATAAGCTGCTTTTTTTCATAGTACAATATTTTATTGTGGTTTATTTTATGGTTACTTTTCTTGTCTTTAATCTTTAATGCTTTTAAGTAAACTTATTATACAATATTTTTCATATAGTTCTATTACATACAGTTCTTGGAGTATTAATTCTCCTGTTTGCTGTGTATGCTGACTCTTCTGTATGGTAGATTGTTTCCTTATTGTGAGCTCTTCTTCAGCAGGTGTTTTTTTGTTTGTGTGTCTGTTTTGTTTTGTTTTTGCTTGTTTAGCGAGAATCCCATATGCTCTGGATTATGAAAACATTCTTACACAGCTCTTTCTTGCTTCTATGGGGGCTGTGTGATATTCCTAGGGATTTTAAGGGTCCTAAGCCAGGTTTATACTTACTTTCTTTGCTTGAGTATTAGCATCATGCAGATAACATAGATCCAGATGCAGTACAAGCATTTGCTCAGACTTGGGACTTCAATCTTTCAGGGTTGACTTGTATTACTTTCCCTGTTCTTTGTTTCCCTGGACTGGTATGTGTTGTTTTTAGTCTACTTTCCATGGACAAAGTAGACCTCTGATGCTTTGAGCTTTATTCAGGGGCTACGGATCCAGCTTCTTGTCTCTTGTGGGCTGAAGCCACATATAACCAGAGGCATTAAAATACAGCTCTAGGTCCCTGGGCATATATCTGTGTCTGAAACTCACTATGGGCCATTGTGGTAGCCTTCTCTTATTTTTTTATTTGGCTTTGTATTCCTTCTTTGATTCTGATATCTGGGAATTTCTTTTTCTTTTTTTTAAATAAATTTTGCAATTGTCCATATATTTTTATTTTCCTCTCTTTAATTCTC